TCGTTGTTACTGATGGCGAGCGGATTCTCGGTCTGGGAGATCTTGGTTGCCAGGTAAGAAATGGGTCCTTTGAGTTACACTTGAAACTTCATCCCATTTATATGTCGAAAATCTGCATATACCATTTGTTTGAGCGAATGTAAAATTTTTCCAGGGAATGGGAATTCCAGTGGGGAAACTTTCTCTTTACACAGCTTTGGGAGGAATCCGTCCATCAGCTGTAAGCATCGGAACACAATCTACGATATTTTTGCCTAGAAATTGGTTTTGCTTCGTCCTCTGATCCTAAATGCAAAATCTGATTAAAATATGCAGTGCCTTCCAATCACCATTGATGTGGGTACAAACAATGAGAAGTTGCTGAATGATGAATTCTACATTGGCCTTAAACAGCGAAGGGCAACTGGCCAGGAATATGCGGAGTTTCTGCATGAGTTCATGTGCGCTGTTAAGCAGAACTATGGAGAGAAAGTGTTGGTACAGGTGAGGCATAGGATCAGTTCTTCTAAGACCTATGATTGTTGTTAGAATTGTTCATATTTGTAATAAGATGTCCTGATACTTACTCTTCTTTTCAGTTTGAAGATTTTGCAAACCACAACGCGTTTGACCTTCTGTCTAAGTACAGCACCACTCATCTTGTCTTCAATGACGATATCCAGGTAAGATCTTTTCCTTAAGATTGATCTTTTCCTTACATTTTGGATGAGGTGTCAGAGAGCTAACGCTATCAAGAACTTGTTTTGTCTTGCGTAATGGCAGGGTACTGCATCCGTGGTGCTTGCTGGTCTTATTGCTGCTCAGAAGGTGCTTTGTAAAAACCTTGCTGACCATACCTTCTTGTTCTTGGGTGCCGGAGAGGTGAGACTAGAAAGCATTATGCTCAAAAAGCTTATCATTTATCTTGCATATATGTTTTGTTGCTTACGCTATATCTGGCTGGTTCTTTGAAGGCTGGAACCGGTATCGCTGAGCTAATTGCTCTTAAGATTTCGAAAGAGGTTAGTAAATCTGAGAAATTTCTTACATTTGCTCTGTTTTCTGGGTAAGAGTATGTGATTGATCAAATCCTGGCTATTTTGTAGACTGGAGCTCCTATTGATGAGACAAGGAAGAAGATTTGGCTCGTGGACTCCAAGGTATTGTTGGCAACCAACCAGATTAGTCTCATCCTCTGTAGCTATACTTTTCATGATCACTTATGTTCCACTTTTGAACATTACTGTCCAGGGACTAATTGTTAGCTCGCGCAAAGAATCCCTTCAGCATTTCAAGCAGCCATGGGCGCATGAGCACGAACCTGTCAAGGACCTCATCGGTGCTGTGAATGTATGCGATGAACTCATCTTTAAATCACTTGATGGGTGAATAGATGATCTTGGTGTTAGATTTTCTATTCTTGTGTTCACTCTATGTTGATACTTTGTCAAACAGGCAATCAAGCCAACAGTTCTCATTGGAACCTCCGGTGTGGGTCAGACTTTCACAAAGGAAGTTGTCGAGGCCATGGCTACCAACAACGAGGTTTCTTATTGTTCTTCCTCTCTGCTTTCTCAAATAAAGGGTATCTATGCTATTGTTCTAATGTTGGTCTTGGTGTTGGCTTATAGAAACCGTTGATTCTTGCTCTATCAAACCCTACTTCTCAAGCTGAGTGTACCGCTGAACAGGCTTACACATGGACCAAGGTATAATAATCTCTCATATAGAATCTGAATGTGATTCATGTCCGGACTATAACAAAGTGTAATTTTCATTTAACGCGGCTCTCAAGTCTGATCATATCTTGTTCTTAACATAGGGTCGTGCAATCTTTGGTAGTGGAAGCCCCTTTGATCCTGTTGAGTACGAGGGCAAAACTTACTTGCCTGGCCAGGTTTATGCTAATTCCGTATTCTTTTCTCTGTCAATTTGTATTTCTGTGACAATCTGAATTCTCACATCTTATTTCGATTACCCTACTTCACTTCAGGCAAACAACTGTTACATTTTCCCGGGTCTGGGTCTTGGTTTGATCATGTCTGGCGCAATTCGTGTCCGTGATGACATGCTCCTCGCAGCCTGTAAGTATAAATCCCTGTGCACTGGACCATAAATGTTGCAAGTTGTTCAGAAACTGTGAATTCTTGATATTTAAACAAACTGTAAAATTTCCTGAAAATCAAACTTACGTCTCTCTATTTCATCTTTTTGAAACTGGGAGACACTTAAAAGATTCACAATGTAACTCTCTCTAACTGGTCTCTCTGTATGTATTCAACAGCTGAAGCATTGGCCGCTCAAGTCTCAGAAGAGAATTTCGCCAACGGTCTGATCTACCCGCCATTCTCAAACATCAGAGAGATCTCTGCCAACATTGCAGCCAGTGTGGCCGCCAAAACCTATGACCTCGGTTAGTTCTTCTATTCCGTTAATGGAACTGTCTTGACTTATAATAAGAAATTGTGCTTATGATAATGATGTATCTGTGGTGTATAGGACTGGCGTCGAACCTCCCACGTGCAAAGGATCTAGTCAAGTTTGCAGAGAGCTGCATGTACAGTCCTGTCTACAGAAACTACCGTTAACAAGTTCTTGTTCTAGAAACCTCTGCATATTC